GTAGAGAGCAGGATTAGTTTTGGCTGCGCGTGCTCTCCACTGGAGTGTGTGTGTGTGTGTGTGTGTGTGTGTGTGTTAGAGAAGAAGGAACCGTGTAGACCGAGTGTGGACCCTGAGTCAGGTGGCGTCTTTGAAAGTCATTATGGCAGATGGAGACTAGAACAACAGCAAGAACTCCTGCTCCTGCTCTGCTTCTCCTGTAGAGGTCAAGGCCTGGGCCAGCCGTCTCCGCTGGGGTCACCATCTGTGGCCCACATTTTAGTTCTCAGCCAGGTAAAGAGGAAGCGAGGAATGGATCCAGCATTTCTGAAAAGCATTTTTCAGAAATAAATTATCTAGAGACCAGCAGATGGCATAACGGTTACGTCGCTGGACTCCCACATGCCAACTGCAGTTCGAGTCTGGGACCCAGGTACTTAAAACACGCGCATGTGGGACCAGCAGTTGGTGTAATGGTTATATCACTGGACTCCCATGTAGCCGACTATGGTTCGAGTCCCAGACCAAGTGGCTTAAACTCACACTGGGCACGTGTGCGTGTGTGCCTAAGATCCCAACAGGAGAATGGAGGAGAAGGGATTGCAGCGTGGCCATCCCCCCCTGGGGGGTGATTTCTTGCTTTCTGTCTCTATCTCTCTGTTGTTCTGGTGAGTTCACATGCCCTATAGGAAAAACCTCTCCAAGAAAAAAAAAAAAAGAAAGAAACACATGGGCATATGTGTGTGTATGCATGCCCAAGATCCCAAGAGGAGAATGGAGGAGAGGGGATTGTGGCATGGCCAGCCCCCTGTGGGGTGATTTCTCACTTTCTGTCTCTCTGTTTCTCTTTCTCTCTCTGGGGAACCCACATGCCCTATAGCAAAAATCTCTCCTGAAAGAAAGAAAAAGAAATGCATCATCCATCCTATAGACATAAAGGAGAGAGGGTCGTAAGGGTGTCTCGGGGGGTTGTCAACTCCATGAGACAAGCACATGCTTCCCAGTTGGGGTGTCCTCAGTGTAAAAATCTTCCGTTAGCAATGTGCTCAGCTGCGGCGTTTGGCCTGCTCCCGGGCTGAAGCTTCGTGGGCTTCTGGGATTCACGGCGTATCCAGAGGCCTCGTCTTAATCTTTGGAAGATGCTGTTCCCTGGTGCTGATGTTTCCATTTCTCTTCCCTCCTTCCCTCTCTCCTCCCTTCCCTTCGCCCCATCACTGCCCTCCTCCTCCTTTTCCCAGAAGCCAGCGCTGCTGTCGGCGGATTGTAAC